GTTAAGCAAGAACAACACAGAGATGCCCTTGAAGGTAGCATATATCTCTGTGCAAATGCTCACAAGGAACATTCTCCACTCATAACTGCTTGGCTTAGGTTTATTTTTATAGGTCGTTGCTAACACAATGGCATACTTTAAAAAGTTCTGTCAAACAATAGAACTGGCTTTCAAAAACTGTACTAAATAATTCCTTTTGATACATGCCAAATCAGGATATTTTTAAGTATGTCTTTTTTCTTTTTAATTGTAGCAATGATGGAAATATTAGTCATATAAGGAAGAAAACCTTAAAACTGCACTAAACCTAAAAATATGCATGCCATTTGTTGTAGAGAAAAAGAAATGAAGACACTATTCATATAAAGAATTGTTGCATTCATGTAATTCACTGAGTTAACGACGTAGGTTTTTAGTATCAATATCAGCACTGTTCCTTACTTTCTATTAACTATACTTAAGTAATTTTGGTTCAGGTATGAGTAAATAAACGTCAGTGTCATTTGTGGATATGTGAGAGAACGAACAGGTTTAGAGTGCAGACTTGACATTCACTCAGAAATGTTAGGTTTGAGGTTTCCATGAGCCTCCAAGAAGAGACTTCAGAAAGGCACTCAGATACGTGAAAATGAGGCTGAGCACACAAGAATGAGTGCAAGAAAGAACGAACTGAAGGAAAGCATGTGGGTCCCAGTGGAGCGCTCAGCTGCCAACCTCATGGACTGGACTCCAGCCCTGCTACTCAGTAGCAACTGACCTCAACACACTCCCTAACTCGTGGCTCAGTTTACTTAGATCTAGAGGGGGAAGATCAGTAGGTGCATGGGAGGGATTAAAAAATGAACATGTATGAAGCGTGACTGTGCTCATTCAGTGCTCTGTGAGCTTTGACTGCGATGACTAGCATCAGTTACAGCATCAGCTCACACAGATGCTCCCTAGTCTCCGTGGGGTAGAGGCGATCCTAGTCCAAGTCTTGACGGGCCCTCGCATCTGGCCCAGGAAAACCACCACTGGGACAATGTTCTCCGAAAGCACGGTAGGAAAAGGTGCCCCCGGAAAAGTACCGTGGAAGCCACTAGGGGAGCCCTAGTCCCCAGACTTCGATGCAACACGTGAGTGTGGAGAACAGGAGACAGTGCCTGAAGCTGGGAAGACAGCTTTTAAGTGCACAACATTTAGATCTTCTTCCCGGTACTAATATCCTCTTCACATTCCTTAATTTTTCTTACCTCTAAGTCTTACCTTTCAAGATAGAAACCTATCCCTTTAAATAGAGACTATCCTATAGTTCTGTTCCTGCTATATAAGGAACAGAAAACCTCCTTAAGATATAGTGTAACCAATAATACCTTACATTTATTTAACCTTCAAATCTCAATAGTATATGTCATACACACACACACACACCAATAATGACTCATAGTCATCCTATTCTTAAAGAGTTAAGGGAAAAGGAAGTACTTCCATACAAAAAGCCTGAACAGGGAATACAGTACTGTCAAAATACATTCACCTGGTCAGCAGGCAGTCTTCAGCAACGCTGAAAGGAAACATCGCAAGATTTTCAAGTGCAGAGCTTCTCTCTGAGCTATATTCCAAAGATAAGCTCACCACTCTGAACACATTCATTTATTTCTTCTGAAAGCACAGAGACTAAAGCATAGCTTAGGCTTTCGCCAAAGGAAAACCTTGTGCTGGTGGCAAGGTAGTAATTGGTTAACTTGAACAATAGTGGGAAATGGAAAGCAGATATGGTCAGTTTGTACTTTTTGCGAAGCTTGAACTAATAAATGCCTGAAAGCTATTTTCAACCAAAAAACTAAATACCAGTTTTTATTTTCAGGAAATTCATTTAATGCATTACTGAGTAATTCCACTGCTTATGCTAAATGGTGGCTGCAGATTCTGACTTGGGGTATTAGCAGTTGTTGGATTTGTACTGTCCCATGCAGGCTTGAGCAGTCTCGTGCAGTGGTGGGCACTGAGCAGATATTGCCTATGTGTGGTGGAAAAAGGCAAGGTCAATGTCATCAATAAGATTCACGCAAAGCTCATCTATGGAGAGCCACGCATCCCAATGATACGAAATAGACCTGGCATTTGGTGGCTTTCGGACAGAAATGGAATCTTCTCCTGCTTAGGAAAAGAGCGGAAGAGCACTGTAACCAGGCTCAAACAGCGTCGAGAGGACAGGGTTAGTACTGCATTCTAGCAGCCACATTTATTTCATCTATTTCCCTTAATTATAGGTTCCATGCTTACATCTTTCCACATTTCTGAAATCTCCGTATGAGTTAAAATTGATACAGTTACCACAACACTAGACACATTCAAAAATAAAAGTGTGGAACAGAATACAGTGTATGTTAGATGATCACACGCATCTTTTTCTTTTTTTAAAGGTTTGAAACTTATATGATATGGTGGTATTTCAATACATACATATACACTTCATTCCTACAAGGAATCGCAAAGACTAGGTAGAGGTAAAGGAGAGGGTGAAAGGGTAGGGAGGGTTTTTAACTGAAGACCCTTGCATCCTTTAATCAGTGAAGGTTAATCTCAGAAAACTATACTGAGGGAATATGACAAAATATTAACAGTTGTTAAAGATGGGTGGTATGTGTGTATATGAGTGCGATATGATCTACTAGTACTCTTTTCATTTAATTTTTTTTGAGGTATTAAACCATAAAAATTGAAAAAAAATCTATCTCCCAACACTGTCAGCAGATTATGCTAAAATTAAAAAGACAACAGCAAATTTTGGAGAAGATGCAGAGACACCGGAGCTCTGAGGCAATATTAAGAGAACAGAAAAATGGCACACGCACTTCAGAGGACATTCCGGCAGTACTTATAAAACTAAATTAGCAGGTGCCCCACGAGCCAGAAATCTACTTACAGGTAGTAATTCAAGAGAAATGAACCTATGTGCACAGAAGAACTTGTGCAAGGATATTTACAGGGCCCCGAACTAGACATGGCCCAGAGAGCCATCAATAAGAGATCACATAATCAAACTGGGAGACCCATACCACAAGCCCCTCTACAGTGACAAAACATTACAAAACCAAATTACTGCTATACTCAACTGCACAATTGTTCTCTAAAACATGATGCTAATGGAAACACACACACGAGAGTGAACACATACTGTGTAAATCCATATGAAGACAGAGAACAGGGAAAACATACCTAGAATGGGAAAAAGTCTGCAAAAAAAGTTGGCAGTGGAAAGGTTGTAAGAGGGGGGTGGGAAGCTGACCGGGCAGGGACATGAGCTGACTTTCAAGGGGACAGGAACATCTGACACTGTGATGGGAGTTTGGTTTACACAGGTGTATGCAGGTGTCCAAACTCAGGACTGTTTACTTAACATGCGCACACTTTACTGCTCATGACTCTTACCGCAAAAAAAAATAATCTGTAAGCAAATATTGGACTCCGGTTAGTGACATGCATGATGGAGTTTTTAGGAGGGGTATGCTGAGGACTGCAATTTACTTTGAAATGAATAAAAAGGATGGACTTATGGATAAATGGGTTGATGTGTGATAAATTAAGGACAGTTAAATATTAATGGGAGAATCTGGGTTTCAGATATAGAAGCATTCACTGTAAAATCCATTCAAATTGTATGTTTAAAAAATGCCCACAATAATAAATATTAAATAGTTGAAATGCTTGTATATTATTTAAAACACATACACATCACAGATGGCACGAGTAGTTCTGTCAATCCACATTGGTCTATTTTGCTGTTATAGAGCACAGAAATTTTAAAGAGGTGTTTATGAGCATTATATTAAATTTCAAGGATCACCATGTCAGAAACCATGCTTACTGTAAGAGCAGAGTGACAGTACTTTTGAGTTACAAATGGGACCACAAAGCTTATGACTGGCTTTCAGGAACACCCTGTTCTGTGGCCTCCTCTGCCCCAGGTCACCCCAGCCCCAACAGAAGACATAGCCATGGTTCACCTACACTCATGTGCAGAGTCAGCTACGTTAGCCCAGACTGGGAAGCCACGTCCACGGGGACACCGGCTCTGCTCTCCTCCCTCCTGCACTCTACTTGACCCCATGCCAGCTGGCGGGGCCCACCTGGGAAGGAGGCGGCTCACGCTCTCTTGCAGATGCTCGCCTCTTGCTCAGAGGGTGCGAGGCATGCATGCCATCAGCTGACCTCAGGATCACAGGGCTCTGGGCTGAGGAAGAGAATCTAAAGTTTCAGCCTTTAGTGCAAAAAAGCAACCACATTTCAGCCAAGCCCCCTTGACCACTCCAACAAGGTTCAGGTCAAGCTCGAGCCAGACACGGAGCTCTTCTTCTCTCCCCCTTTGCCAGCTCTGCCACAGCGCTCGCTGTCTCCCACTGTGCAGTGGCATCCATCACCCGGGCAGAGGCAGCAGGTGGAGGGATCGTGCCAGTGCAAGAGGGTACTCCTAATTACCTCACCAACTCACAGCATCCTATCGTCAGAATTTGCCAATATTCACCACTTCTTAACTTTTTATGTATAGAATACATCTTTCCAAATCAGGACACACAGATTTCTCTTCCTCGTGCTTTCTAGTGAGGATGCCCTTACGTAGGACTTATGAGCATCTTGGTCCTGTGATTAGTAAGACAGGCATGGATAGAACATGGAGCTTTGGGCTCTGTTTTCTCGGGCCCTGACTCAGGACACAAGGACCCCCCAAGAGGCCTCGGTCACTGCCACCATGTGTCACCCCTCATTTTCCGTTTGTGTTTTTTGTTACAGCAGGCCCCAAGGAGACCCAGGCCGTCAATGCCTAGTGTGTAGGATGCCAGAAAACGCAGCTTGTTAGATCTTTGTCTTCCTAATGACGAGAGTGATGAGATGTTTCTGCATTACAGAAAGAGACTCTATTTTCTATTAACAATACAGACTAACATGAGAGAAAATGAAGATAAAAGACTTTTAGAACTGGCAAAGTACTGGATCACTATTTCTGTTACCACTCTTACCTCATTTGACGGAATTGAGGCAAAGGGTTTGATGACAGCAGCCAGTGGGAGCTGAGCCTGCTTGGCCATGTCCGACGTGCATGGGAAGCAGTATGCGGTGCAGCGGATGTACCGGGGGCTGGCATTGCCTGGAAGGTCAAGCGAAACACTTCAGATCTGCTGGGGAAAGTGTCTGCCGTGTTATACTTAACTGTGTGTCACGGTATTTGGAACCACATATGACCTGATTTGTAAGACTACAAGAGTTCTTTTTTTTTTAATATTTATCTATCTATCTATCTATCTATCTATCTATCTATCTATCTATCTATCTATCTATCTATCTAT